CCGTTCTGAAACGACTGGGCTTTTATAATGTGAGGCAGCGTGCTGCGCGGAGACAGCAGCAGCAGCAGCAGCAGCAGCAGCAGCAACAGCAGGTCTTCGGGAGGGGCGGCGGAGATGATGGTCGTCTTGGCGAAGGCCCTTCAGCAGCAGCAGCACCAGCAGCAGCAGGCACAGCAGCAGCAACTGCTGCTGCTGCTGCTGCAGCGCTTGGTGCTGCTCATGGTTTGATGCAGCTCGTTGTGCTGCATGTAAATGCATACGGGCAGACGCTGCGGTCCCTGGTTGCAGCAGCAGGAGCGCTTGCTGCAGGCAAACTTGAAGAGAATCAGAAGGTTCGCGTCTGCTGCTGCTGCTGCTGCTGCTGCTGCCGCTGCTGCTGTTGTCTGCGTCTGAAGTTGCTGCTGCTGCTGCTGCTGCTGCTACGAGTGGCCGCTGCGGGCATCCTCCTCTATTCTTGCTGCTGCACGAAGTCGTTCTGCCGCTGCTGTTGCTGCTGCTGTTGCTGCTGCTGCTATTGCTGCTGCTGCTGCTGCTGTAGGAGCGGCTGTGCGCGTTTGGATGCGTTGCTGTTGCTGCTGCTGCAGGTCTGCGGCCTCATTACGGCACTCTCTTCTTTTTTGTCTTTTGCTCTGCATGCGACGCTGCTGCTTGGAGGAGACACATTTGCTGCAGCAGCTGCAGCGAAGGTCCTGTTATGTGAACTTCTCGCCTCGCTGCCTCACTGCCCTGAGGTTAGCAGCAGCAGCAGCAGCAGCAGCAGTAGCAGTAGTAGTAGCAGCAGCAGCAGCAGCAGCAGCAACTGCTCCTGCTGCTGCTGAGCAGCAGGATGCATTCTCTTTTTCTTTTTTCGTTAATCACACTTCGTCTCTATCTTTGTTAACAGACGCAGGTAGCAGCAATAGCTGCAGCAGCGGCGAAAGAGCCGCACCACCAGCGGCAGCAGCAGAAGCTGCAGCACCAGCAGCAGCAACAGCAGCACGGAAGCAGCACTTACTTTTCCGGATGAATTAACTGGAGTCTTCATGTTTGCGCCTCTTTGCGAGAGACCAGGTGCTGCTGCAGAGCTGAGGAGAACAGCAAGGCAGCAACAGCAGAAGGAACAGCAGCAGCAACAGAAGAAACAGGAACCGCCGCAGCAGCCGTCGGCGCTGCAGCAGCCACAGGCGCTGCAGCAGCCGCAGCTGCAACCGCAGCAGCAACTGCAAAAGCAGTTGCTGCTGCGGAGGCACGTTCTGCTGTGGGTTGAGTGATGAAAGGCAGCACAGGGTTTGCGCGGCGTCTCGTGTAGCGGCAGCAGCACAAGCTGCAGCTGCAGCAGCATCTGTTGCTGCTGCAGCAGCAGCAGATGCTGCTGCAGCAGCAGCACAAGTTGGTCTTTCTTTATTTTGTTTTCGACTTCTTTGGGGGGCGTTGCTCCCGCTGCATCACAGGCAAGAAGATACATACAGCTTTAAGGAGACAGAGAGGAGACAGAGCCCTAAAAGGGGTGTCTTCAGGTGTCTCCTCCCGTGCAGCAAAGTGTCTCCTCCAGTGTTTCAAGTGTCTCCTCACCTCACCCCCTTAACGGTGTCTTCCCACCCCCTTCGGGTGTCTTCGCACCTGTCTCAAGTGTCTCCGCACCTTATTCAGGCGGTGGCCTCTCAGGTTTTGATTAGAAATACCACCGCGAATTTCAGGTGTCTCTGCACCTTTTTGAGGTGTCTTCTTACCAGATTCAGGTGTCTCCGCACGAGGTTAAGGTGTCTCCTCAGTTGTTTCAGGTGTCTCCTCAGTTGTTTCAGGTGTCTCCTCACCCGTTGTTTCAGGTGTCTCCTCATCACTTCGAAGTGTCTCCTCACCTGAGTCAGGTGTCTCTGCAGCACTTTGAAGTGTCTCTTCATCAGCTTCAAGTGTATCGGCAGGAGTTTCAGGTGTCTCTTCAGCAGCTAAAGATGCCTTATTATCTGTGTTTAAGTGTCTCCTCAGTTGTTTTGGGTGTATCCTCACCTATTGCAAGTGTCTCCTCAGCCACTATTTCGAGTGTCTTCGCACGAAGTGTCTCCCCGGCCGTTGTTCCAGGTGTCTCCCCACCTGTACGAAGTGTCTCCGCACCTCTTCAAGTGTCTCCTCACCTGTACGAAGTGTCTCCGCACCTCTTGAAGTGTCGCCTCTTCAGCTGTTTCAAGTGTCTCCACAGCGTAGCCTTTATGTATTTATTGTCTCCTCCGCATTAAAATGCGATAGCCGCACAGTGTATATGTGTCTCCTTTTGAGGAGATGAAGAACAGAGAGAAGAATAAAAAAATATATATCTCTGTCTGTCTCCGCCTTGAAGACGCAGTCTCTCTTTGAAGCCTGATGAAGTACTTCTTATTATTGTTTCTTTCTTCGGTGCAGTTGCTGTCTATCCGCTGGACTGCTCATATATATATATAATATATATAATATAATATATATAATATAATATATATATATATGCTGAGCTTCTTCCTTTGTAGTGATTGATTTGCTTAGGGGGGCCCCAAAGGGGGCCCCCAACGGTATATCCTGCCGCATATTAAACTCGTTAGGGGGCCCCTTATAACAAAGGTGTGGGGCCCCCTGGGTGTCTCCTCTTGGCTGATTTATTAAGGGGGGCCCTAGTTAAGCACTGACGTATAATAACCCTTTAGGGCTAGAGTTATTATAACTCTTTTAAAAGAATTAGGGGGGGAGACTCTTTAAATAGTTTTTCTTTATTTAATCATTTGAGGGGCCCCCTGTGTGCCTTTCGTTTAAAGCCTTTATAGGGGTGGGGGCCCCCCTTGGAGCTCTTTGTTTTATTCCGTTGGGGGCCCCTTAGTTTTCTTTGTTATTATTATTAAGGCTGTGGGGGTTATATATTTATATATTTATATTTATTTATTTTGTTTAATCTCTTTAAGAAACCCTGAAGACAACTTTGTTTTTAATCTTTTGGGTGTCTTTCTTCTTTTTCTTTTCTTCAGGGGCCCCCTATTCAAGGGGGCCCTTTAAAGCTGCTGCAGCTCTTCTTTGTTTATTTATCTTTAATAAACAGCGAAACTGTTTAATGCTTAGGGGCCCCGCCTCCTCTGTATAGGGGGCCCCCCTGGCTTACGCCCAGTTAACCTGTCTTGAGGGATCCCTGTAAGCATAAGGAAATGCAGTATTGTACATTTGCTGCTGTAACAGCAGCAGCAGCAGCAGCTGCTGCTGCTGCTGCAGCTGCTGTAGCTGCTGCAGCAAAACAGTGTGTGTGTGCACTTGTCTCCTTCATATTTCCCTATACACAAACTAAACAACTCATTTATGAAGCCTTCACTCTAATAATAAAGGGTCTAGCAGCTTCTGGGGGCCCCCTGTGGGGCCCCCAGCAGCAGCCGACGGGGGGCCCCCCGGGGGCCCCCAGGGTTGAATGAGGCCCCCCAATAGAGGTATATGCAACAAGAGATATATTTTTCTGTCTCTCTTTGTGTTAATATTTGAAATAAATACTGTATGCAAACGGAGAAGAAAGCCTAAGAGAGGAAGGGGCCCCCCAGGGCTCAGAAGGGGGCCCTTAGCAGCCAAGGGGGGGGCCCCCCAAGGGGTATTAGAAGCAGTAGGGGGCCCTAAGCATATATATATATGACTACAATAAAGAGGAGCCCCAAATATGAAACAGGTCTCCTCCTGTGGAGGCCAAGGGGCCCCTCAGCAGCAGCAGCAGCTGCAACAGCATCAGCAGCAGCAGCAGCAATGGCAGCAGCAGCAATGGCAGCAGCAGCAGCAGCAGCAGCAGCAGCGGAAGCAGCATGTGAAAACGATGGTTTTTGAGTTGCTGCCGCACGTGGGGGCCTTCGTGTCTGCCTTTGCAGGAGTTGCTGCTGCTGCTGTCTGTGTCTATCTGTTGAGCCTGCTGCAGCAAACCCAACTGCAGCAGCAAGCCGACCTGCTGCAGCAAGTTGTAGCAGCAGAAGTACTTGCTGCTGCAGCACTTGTAGGGGCCAGGGGCTTCCGCTGGCTGCTGTGTGGGGCCTACGAGGTTCAGCTGGAGGACCAGCAGCAATGCCGCAGCAGCAGCAGCAGCAGCAGTATTAGCAGCAGCGGCAGCAGCAGTAGCAGCAGCAGCAGCAGTAGCAGCAGTAGCAACAGCAGCAGAAACGGAATACTCGTGAATGCTGCTGTCTTTTCATCGGCACTCTTCGCCCTCTGCTACGCCTCATTTGCACTTGCTTCTGCTTCTGCTGCTGCTGTTGCTGCTGCTGCTTCCTCTAGAGACACTGCTTGGGGGGGCTGGTCAGCAGCAGCAGCAGCAGCAACAGTAGCAGCAGCAGGTGCAAAGACTCTTCGCGTTGCTCATATCCCCGTGTCTTTCTCCCTTCTTAGAAGAATCAACGAAAACAGCAGCAGCAACAGCAGCAACTGCAGCAGCAGCAGCAAGAAGAGCAGCAGCAGCAGCAGCGTCTCTCAGTACAGGAGACTGCATGTGTGTGCAGCTGACTTTCTAAGCCGCATTTTAGCACTGCACGGCAGCAGCAGCTTGCTGCTGCTGCTGCTGCTGCTGTTGCAGCAGCGACATTCGGATGTGCATCTCAGCAGCAGTTTGCTGGGGCCCCTTTGGGGCCTCTCTTTGCTGCTGCACAGTGCTGCTGTCTCTGCACAGACCTACGCTGCAGCACGTTGCAGCTGCGACCTAGCTGCTTTCAGCAGCAGCAGCAGCAGCACCAACAACAACAACAGCAGCAACAGCAGCCGCAAGAAGAACAACAACACCTACAGCAACAGCAGCAGCAGCAGCAGCAGCAGCAACAGCAGCAGCAGCTGCTGCTGCGATAGCAGCAGCAGCAGCAGCAGCAATAGTAGGTCGCTGTGTGTCGCTGTTACCGGAGCAGAAGGAGGCATTTGTCTCCTCACCTGCCGGCTGCTGCTGCAGCGGGGGTTTGCTGTTGCTGCTTGCTGCAGCACAGCAGCAAAAGTCAAAACAACAGCAGCGCTGCTGCACAAAAAAACTTGCTCACACTACGGAGAACAGCAGCAGC